ATGTTTGTAAATAATCAGGAACTAATCTACTATTCTTGTCAAAGACTCACTTGTCCTTGGTAAAAGTTGTTTATTTTATTTATTATTGAAATTATGTACATAATTTTAGCCTTGCAATGTGCATAGGCAATTTTCCTGGGTATTGTGTCTACCTGAAATTTTTGTGAACAAAAAGTTTTGAGGGTTTTATTCCTCAGAGAGATAATCTTCTAGGCGAGCCAGCCCAGGTACGCGAGTTGATTATATTTCGGGAACTCCGGTCGAAATGTATGAGAATACTAGCTGTATGGCTTACCAATCTGTGCTTCACATAGATTGGTAAGCCATACCGCTAGTATTCTCAAATATTTCTCCCTTCAGGCTGGTGCCTGCCGTAGGCAGGCGTTGACCTAGGGGGGTTCGGGGGCATGCCCCCCTGAAAATTTTTAAATCTGGAGTCTCTGAAATACCATTTCCTGCATTTTGGGAGAAGATTAACAGAATTCTAAAGGTGCAAAAATGCCATTAAAAAATCTCAAAAGTAACACTTTTTGGACATCTGCATGCAATTATAAGTTTCATTTATTTTTTTATTTCGTTAATATTGTTTAAAAAGCAAAAGTCATTCTAAATTTAGATGTTACTGAGTTATAGCTTGCGCTTATGTGCTTTGTTGTATTCATAAGTAGCAGATTTAGCTTCTTTTAATGCGTTATCATGCCCATGCGCGAATAATGCTAATTCATCACGCGAAATTAATAAGATTATAGTTTATATTTTACATAACGCCTTGTCTGGGGAAATACCTCATTAACTAAGTGTCAATTTACTAATTTGCACAATAGTGCAACTTACGCAATACTATATGTTACAGCAACTGCTCAAAAATACTTTATTGTATAGCTATTGATTCAGCTAAATAGGAATATTTGCTTGCCAAGAGAAGTGTTAAAACAAAAGTTGGATCGCTTCCTATTTTTTCGCTTTTGCATGAGAAAATAGTGTTTATGCATGTGAGCGTGAGAAATATGTCAAATGCATGTGTCTCACGCAAAATGTGTGAGAGTTGGAAGGTCTGTGAGTGGCAGCTCAAATAGGATTAGAGCTTATTAAGGTGATGATGTGTCATGACAATATGTTGTTAAACCTCAAATGGCTCGACCAATTCATGTCTCTAGGTGGCATGACTTTGAGATTTGCTTGTGTGAATATAATTTTTTGCTTAGTACCTTTGTTCCAGCAAGCCCATGCATATGCTTGCCTCAACAGTGTCATATATATTGAAACACCAAGCAAGCTTCTTGTATTGTAGCTGTAATCAATTGGGGCTATGTCCTGTATGGCCACCATTTGCTAATGTAAATACTTTAATAGCAATAAAGTGATTAAAAAAAATATGGCTAATCTAGGCTGGGTTAACTCCATATAAACAGACCAAAAGTAGGCTGTCAGTCTGTCTTAGAGTGAAAGACATCTTCCCAAATTTTTTTTTTATAAAGCTCAATGTCATGATAGAAAAAAATTATTATAATACAAGAAAATGGAACGTACCATAGTTCATAGAATAGATGGTTTGGAAACTCATTAGAGGCAACTTGCCCAATCGTGCAAGCAAGTTACTTGCCCGTCATGATATTAACGTTATTAAGTAAATGTTTTATCTTGCTTGCACAACTTTCATTATCGGATAAATTTTTTATGGTGCTTGTACTTGATTCAAATTTTGTTTTTTGTGGGCCAAAGCTAGATCTAAGGCAGTATAACATAGTCATATAGAGCAGTGGGAGAATGAGTCGACATGTTGCCCCCTTGATTTATACCCCCTGGCAAATGAATTTTATTCAGGGCAACTAATTTTCATGTCCAATTAACTTGCCCTGAGAGCAAGTGGTCAAAAAAGTAAAGTTACACCACTGGTTTATTCATAAATTTGGTCTCTGTATTTTTGCCCAACTAACCAATAGCAATATCTTAGGAAAGTTGCCTATCCATGACTCGAACAATAGGGTAAATTGAAAATTGCAAGACTACAAGGTGGATTTGGCAAAAATACAATACACACATGACAATGAAGGACCAGATTTATTAATAAATGTTGACTAACATAATGAGTTTCAGCCAAACCATCTATTCTATCAAGCCATCTAGTACAATAACTGTATATAACATGAAGTTTCCTGAACAAAATGGCGGAAATTTTAATATAAAAATGTTGATGTTTGATCGTAAAATACAAAAAAACTGCAGGTTTGTGCGAGTGACAACAAGTGAATTCGTACTCACGTATAAAAATCTATAGATTCATGTGAATTTAAAGTAGTGCCCAAAGGGGGGCAAAAAAACTGAACGAAAAGCGGTCAGGGAATATGGCTTATAAGTTAAATTTTAATATATGCCCTGTGCATTTTTGTGTAATATTAGGGCCATTTATACGGAACAAAATAAGACGCGACTTACATAAGACGCGACTTAAGTAAGACGCGAGTTTGTCGTATAAAAGGTACAAAATTCTTATGTAAGACGCGTCTTACATAAGAACAGGACTTTTAGCTGTTCTTATTTAAGTCGCGTCTTAAATAAGAAATTTTGGACAAAAAGTCTAACTACACATGCCAGAAACTTGAAACAACGTAAAATTTAATGCCTTCCATATTAAAACAAGAACAACCAAAACAACATTATAGCTATAGCAAATAAATAAGACCAAAGCTGTAGAGAACCATTTATGCGATAACTCCACTTATTTAAGTCGCGTCTTATGTAAGTCGCGACTTATTTTGTCACGTATAAATGGCCCTATTGACCGAGAGAGCTGCGTTTAATTTTGAGTAACCATTTTTGAAAGTGTCAAGAATTAGCCAAAAACGGCCTATCAAACATTAATACAGCAATAACCTGTGTTTAGACACACTATAGTCAGAAAGTACACGTTCGTTCTCAGAGACCTGACCAACGCCACCGGTATAACCTCACGAGCATTATTTACCCTTACATATTCTAAACATATCGAAACTCTTTGGTCCTTTGTTAAACAAGGCATATTTATAAAAAAAAACATGCGACATTTCTTTGTTGGAACATTAGAATTTGATTTCCATGTAGGGTATGAATAAATCTTTTAATCAAAATCGCATCATAACTTAATTTTCATGCATTCGCAAAGACCTTAAAAGAAAAATAAAGGAGCACATCCATCCAATATTTTTAATTTAAACTTCACTTCATTGAAAAGAATATTTATGATAAAATGGTAACGGTTATCAAATTAGTTTAACAGGCCATCTTTAGCTATAATTCTTGACACTTCCCAAAATGTTTATTCAAGCTTAAATGCAGCTTTCTCAGTCAATATTGCACAAAAATGCACAGGGCATATATCAAAATTTAACCCATTAAGTGCCAGCGCTCTCCCCTTGACGAGTAAAATCGTCTGGCATTAGACAGAGTAAAATACTAAAGTAGGGTGTGCATCAGGGTGCAATGCGACTCAATGGGTTAAGTTAGACAATACTGAATACAATGCACATAGTTTAGGTGTAATAGCTCGTTAAAATAAATCAAACAGGGCAACTGATGTTTATAGTGTGTACAGTGTAAATAAAGTAGAATAGTTGTAACTTGTAAGTTGAGTAAACAGAGTTATCTCAAAATGTTGAAATATTTTCTGGAAAATTTTCTGCGAAACCCTCGACTCTCATCACACTTCCAAAAAAATTTCTGGGAACCGATACTTTTTCCACCTCTGCATTAATCTTTATTGAGAAAGAATTGATACAGAATACAGTTCTTTAGTTTACCATTTACTTATTCTTTCATTATTGTTCAAGTTTAAACATTAAAAATACACTTATTTGGCCATTTACATTGTTCTTCTAAGATTACTACTCTGTTCAGTGAAAGCAGCGCCATTGAAAGCTCCGCCATTATGTTCACAGCATGTACGAAAATCCGAAAGCTGTGCAAAAAACTGAGATGTGGACAACCTTGACAGGGCCTTGGGGGGACAAGATGGCGTCTATTAAATTTCCTCTTAAATTTTGTCCCTGTGACTTCGTCCCAAATTGCATAAATATATGATATATATCAGGTATTCTTTTTATTGTTTCACATGTTTTATTAGAAAAAATTGAGAACTAGGACATTTATAAAAAAGTTTGATTCGCAATAATAAAATTTTCGAATTGCAAAAGCAAGAAATAAGCTTGCGAATTGCGACCTGCTAATTCGAACCCTGAGAGAGGTAAGAGAATAGGTTAGTGAGAACAATGTCATTTGAGGACATTAGCTAGTAGTATTTGTTTAGTCTGAGATGTTGTACTCAATTGGAAAAAAAATATTTAATATGTCATTTGTATTGTTTCTTAAAGTTTCGTCCGAAGGTTCACTACTCCGAAGGTTCACTAGTCCAAAACATACGCTGGTTTTGAATTGCAATTACGTGTTAAACTTGGCTGCTTCCCAGTTAAGGATTTTTCGTACTTGCATATACACGCACGGAAAAATTTAAATCCACTTGAAAGTCTTTTGTCCACTTAAGAAATAATTAAATGAATAAAAGGATAGCATTTAGTTTTGTGTTTGATTTAAAAGGAATTTTTAAAACTGGGTTACAGTCCATTCTGCGCATGTGCAGGATTTGTTTACATCTTTTGTTTTTGGTTTGGATCCACTTCAATTGTATAATATGAAGTATAACAGCTATACACTATGCTGTGCACCAAATATTAAACAAAGGAGTGGAGTTGCCAATTTTTTTTTAATCGTCTTCTGAAAGACAACCAATTAAATATTTTGAAAGACCACCAATGGGAGTATATTGTTGATCAATTCGGCAGTTTTCTTTTGTGTGCCTCGTTGATGAAACATTCAGAAGAGACCGACATAGCGAGTTCACAACTCATTATGTTCTGATTTATAATTTCGGCATTGTAAAATAAACTTTGGAAGTGTCAAAGTAATCATGAATCCTTCCTTGGGGTATTTGTTCGTCGAAACACATTGTCAGAGTCATTGCTGCTGTCATGGCAGAAGCACTCAGAGAAAGCTTTTCGCTTGAAGAATTGGAAAGAAGCGAATTGGAAAATGCCGCAGCATTGCCAAATGTGGACAACCTAACAACGATATGTTCATGTCGCAGCTTCTGTCTTCGAGAGAGAGGACGAAATTTCTGTCCCTGCAAAAGTATGGGTAGTTTTTGCTCAAGCACGTGCCACGAAGATTTTGATTCATGTATGAACAGTCAAAGAGTTCAAGAAAGCGACAGTGACCAGTCGACAGTGAGTTTGTATTATTGCTATACATGTATTAATCTTATTATTTTGTTCATTAATTTATATACATGATTCGTTTACGCAAAAAAAAATTGGCCTGAGCAATGTTCATTTGAGAATATGTAATATTGTTCATTGTGATTGTTTACTCTAAACGAAGGATAATGATTATCTAACAATAGATTGTACCTTGATGGGACCTGATAGGTAAATTTTGCTTACATTTTTTTTTTGACACTTTGCCTGCCAAGGATATGCGTAGACACACACAAGCTTTAACCACTGGCTTTAACACACATGATTTGTTTTATTACATATCCTGCATAATTATGCATATCCTTGCCAGGCAAAATATCAAATTATGTAAAAAAAGTTTACCCGTCTACACTAGTATACAGTATAAATCATCAGATAGTTTATTTCAAGTGACCCTGGAAGTTATCAAGTTATGTGTTTGCATTTTGTATGTTATACAACTGGCTAACCTTCATACTCTGTTTTTACAGGATTCAGAATTATCAGCTGATGAAAGCCATGGCCGTGGGAGAGGAAGAGGTCGAGGCATAGGTCGGGGACGAGCACGAGGGCAACAGAGAGGTGTGAGAGGAAGGGGAGGTGGTCAAAGAGGATGTGGAAGGGGAGGTGGTCAAAGAGGACGTGGAAGGGGACAACTCGTTCAGGAGGAGCAAGCAGGTGAAAATGCAGATAATCATGATCAGCAATTGGTGGTAAGAAATATCCGTGTTTCACTGTTCTCGAGTCTTTGCATTTAATTAACCCATTAAGCTGCAGAGCTTCCCCATTGATGAGTAAAATTGTCTCGTGTTAGACAAGTAGTAAAAAGGACAGGTACAGTAGGGTGCAATGGGATGCTTCGCAGCTCAATGGGTTAACTAGAGACATTGTCAGATTTTTGGTATAACCATTAAGATGCAGAGGTTCCCCATATAGACTAGTAAAATTGTCTGGTGTTAAACAGGTTTTAAAAAATAAGTAGGGCACACTGGGGCACATTGTGGCTCAATAGGTTAATTAACAATTATTCGCCGAAGGCGAGGTGATTATCGGTGAATAAAAACCGAGACGAAGTCGAGGTTTTTATTCACGATAATCACCGAGCCTGAGGTGAATAATTGTTTTAGTATAATTTCATAGGTGATTATTTGGAAAAAATAAGAAAATACACATTTCTTTGTCATTTAATTGACAAAAAGGCTTCGGCCGCCATTTTGAAAATCGCGTAGGTGATTATCGCGTAATAATCACCTCAACGGCAACCAATCAGCGTGGAGAATTTTCAATAATCACCTATGTAATTATACTAATGATAAATATTATATCTTTATATTTCAGAATCTTGTGGAAGGGATGGATTTAAATGCACTAAGAGCATTTTCTTTAGCGCTTCTACGACGTCAGCCAGCTGCATTTGCTGATTTGATAAATGGTGAATTGCCAGGTGCACCGCCTGAACCTGACCCAGAAGAACCTGACCCAGAAAACCCAGAGTGGTGCAAATGTGGATGTTGTGTTGCAATGCCAACACAATTGGAAAACAAATGCTGCACGCAAACAAGACGGCCTTGCATAACCCTAACCCCTCTGTTCCCACAGTTAGTACTTGATGGAAACGTTCTTGATCTGGCAATGCATTACAGGGAAGACTTTCTAGTGTTAAACAATGTCAGAAACAATGAAAATTTTCGCCATGCTGCTTATAGACAATATGTACTCTGGCAACATGGAAGGTTGGGAAGGGGGAACAGGAGAGTGGTTCCAAGCTGTTGTGTGACAGCAATATGCAGACGATATCCTTCTCCAAATGGGATATACACTGGGTATCAACCAGCTAGATTGTAAATATTTGTTGCACATGTTTTTATTATGTTATTGATCATAGAGGGAAATTTAGTATTCATTTAACCCATTACACTGCAATGGTTTCCCCATGACAGGGAGGATCATTTTAAATATTTTGATATTGAGATTGACACATGTTAAGGCCCGTTCACACAAATGATTTCAAACTCTGGTTTTCTGCTTTTGGCATATGTGATTTAGCAAAATTACATGGAATATTATTTTGTGTGGCTTAGCTCATACACTCATGATGATTACTAACTCCAACACAAACACCAAAAGAAGAAACTTGCAGCTCAAAATTGCTTGTGTGAACGAGCCTTAAATTTATAGGTTATGTTGCAATGTGCCCCATTGCTTCAAACTTATTTTAAGCTTTCTCTGTCTAAAACAACAAATTTTGAAAATGAAAGGCTCTAGCATGTTAATGGGTTAAATCATTATGGACAGTCATATTTCGATTGTATAAAAGACAAGTTATCAAATGCATTAGATTTTCAAGCACAACATTTAGTACTGACATTGATTTTTTTATTCTTTAAAATTACTCCTTGCTCCTTACTTCAGTCCTGAAAAGTGTATGGCTGTTTCGCTCTATATCAGAGCTCATCAGCATGCCTAGGGAACACTGAAGATCAATGAATCCGACATGGACAGCCTGACCCACTAGTGGGGTCCGGGGGTTTGAAATCAGAGTTTTCCTTCTCCTAGGTGGACTGCCTTTCAGGGCTTATGAGCTCCACCTACCCAGATCACTTTGTTGTTAGTGCCAGATACTTGTCTACAACAATCAGTTGAATCTAGACTTATGGGTTTCAACAAGCTCTGTGACTGAAGGAGGAGGGACAGAGGCAATGTTATGAGCGATTTGCCTTGGGTCATCACTTGCAATACCAATTCTTCTATCAATCGTACCCTCACAACTGGCCCTTTTTTTCAAACACCTAAAGAAGACTTATACTTAGTTCTATTCCTGTTTAAATGCACAGTAGTGCATGTTGAAAAATGTGTTTTAAGAGCACAGCACTTCAATGAATTTTTTCAAGCCATATTTTGATTTTGTTAGGCTAAAAAATTTTGCTTCCAAAAAGCCATTTAAGTGCTCGTAAAACACAGATTAGCAGGTGCTACTATGCATTTAACATGCCTACAGATTGATCAAAAGATTTGTTTGAAAATTAAATGTGATAAGAATATGGAATTTCACAATGAAAACCAAAAGTCATCACATTTTTTCTGAACAGGAAAGCATAACATGTTATACAGTACATACCTTCATTATAAGTTGTGGGATGTATTCATACTGCTTAGAAGTGAGAACCTTAACATGGCTCCATCGCTGTGTTCGCTTGCTGAACATGCGTTCGAACCTACAGTACAGAATAAACAAAATAAAAACATATTTTTATTTTCAAAATCACGATTATTAAGAGATTACAGTTTCTATTGTAAAAATCAAAATTCACGAAAATATTACATTACGAAAGAATTTTTGTATGTTGGACCAAAAAGTTACGATATGCCCGGAAAAAATTTATTATTTCCCGAAAATTGAGGATATTTCTGGAAAAATTTTTGCATTCCGGATAAAATTGTTTTTTTCCGAAATTTTTTTGGTAAAAAAAGAAAAAATTGGCGACCCCCCAGCTAACCAACAATTTTTGGAAAAAAATATTGAACCACTGTTCACTGCGCATGGGCCCCATCAGACATTGCTCATTGGTGGTCTTTTTTAAGACACCAGCACGTCCCTGATTAGCAGTAGGTATGTATCATGTACTAGCGCTATTACCTTGGTTTACCATCGGCTGTAGTTGCCACTACACGACCCCTATGGTGGTTAAAATCCAATGCAGCGAGCTGATTCCTTGCACGATATATTGGATATCTGAAGATAAATAAAATTTAATTACACTCGGTAAGTAAACATACATATGTACATGTACATGTATATTATTTTTTCATGTGAGCATAAAACTAATTATATATTCAAAGCAAACAACATATTTTCTGCATTTGTTGGGTTGTATCTAACCATCAACAGCCAAATACATCATTTTAATTGCACAAAATATATGAATACTCACGAGTAACTGTGTCGCTTAGAAGCGTACATCAAAATTTGGTTGTGGAAAGATTCAATAAAGCCTGTATGTCTATATAAGAAAATATGATATACATTACCTAGTGTACAGTATTATGGTACTATATTAGTAGGACTGTACATAATACATGGTTATTAATCAAAATGTCAATACCCTACAGTATTAACAGTACTTAGGCAAGCACACATAGCTGAAGTTGGTGTAGTATACAAGCATATTGAGGAAACATGTATCCATCACAATCTTTGCCATTGCCTTATGAGCAGATGACTCTCTCTTAAGCCAGGGCTTCTTTCTTTCTTCATCATTCAATGGTTCATGAGCACATTTTCCTCCATTTACGCCTTCAGGTACCACCCATTCATGCTCATCAGCCACGTGATGCAAGATCCCAATCCATTTGTCCTATTATGTGATAATAAAATGTAGACTTACTGTACAGTATATCAATCAATGTATGTCAATTTTGTAATGAACTGTCCACGCATCATTTAATCCATTGAGCAAGACTGAAGACTCCTCCTTAAATTAACCCATGCACTGCAGGCAATGCTCTACCACTGACAAGTAAAATCATCTGGCATTTGACAGTAGCAACCCTCGAAATTCAACTATTTTTGCCTCGGCAAATAATTGCCGAAGCCTTTCGATAATTTTCGAGTTTGCCTCGGCAATTTTTTGCCGAGGCACGCAATGAAATCACCTTAAATTCCTTCGGCAATTACTTCGGCACCCTTCGGCATTCACGTCGGCAGTTGTAATTAAAGTAAAGTACATATACGGACATTATTGTAAACAAATATTATAACGAGCGTAGATTCCGAGACTTCTGACGTTCGACAATTTGTTGTTATTTTACTAATTCCTGATTCAAAATGTTTTTAAAAAGTTAGTGGTAATTTACAAGCAACTGTATGAAAGAATAAACTTGACGGTAAAATCACGCGACAGTCTAAAAGATAAAACAAAGTTTCTCGACGTACCGTCTTTAATTAAACCATCAAGATTGTTTTTTATTTCAACCGAAGCCGACACTGAAAAGCTCAAATTTAAATATTTTGTAAAGTAGCTATGAAATCTTCTGTTGTTCACCCGACGTCGATGACAACAATTCGAACAAAGAAGTGATACAAAAAACGAACACTGTAGTTTGTATATTTAAGAAGAAAAAAACGAACAGACACTGTAGTTTGCAATTTAAGGAACAGCGGGTGGAATTGCGTCGGCATTTTTTTGCCGAGGCAAACTATGAAAAATCGTAACTTGCCTCGGCATTTGCGTCGGCAATTGCCGAGTGCCGAGGCGAATTTCGAGGGTTGCAGTAGATAGTAAAGTAAGGCACAAGTGCACATTGCCAGTTAATGGATTGTTTTGAATCGTGATAATAGTTGTGATTTTCCCTTTATTTAACCCAACACCATAATTGTTCAACTAACTAAAAACTAGATTACATAAATATTTAAAGCACAAATCACGTGATCAATCAATGTTCCCCTAGCTATGTACAAACAAAACAGTTAATTATAAAATACTTGAGTTCATGCAATTATAAATGTCAATCTACTTATCTAATCAATCCAGATGTCTCTAAAACAGAAATTCCTGCAATTCTTAATTATATTTTTACCACAGTATCTGACATGGATTTACAAGTAAAATTGTAGAGTGGGCATGTGTACACATTGCTGCTCAATGGTTTAAATGCACAATTACAGTACATTACACCATAAACCAATCTTCTAGACATGTATGATAAAGTGACAATTATGAATACAACTCATACTAGAAGTCAAATGAATACTACTTTGAGTGCTTTTGCATCCTTTTCACAGGTCTTTGAACAATGCCAAAAGTGGTTCCTTATAGATGGTGCCCACAACTGAAGATCTTTATTGCCTTTCTTTTTTGCAGCCTTAATTAAAACATAAAAGAAAACAAGATACAAGGTATTAATTCAATAGACTACCCTACTTTGCAGATATGATTTGGTCAAAGACTTACAGCATTGATTTTCTTGGCTAGGTTTTTCCCTCCATGCCAAACATCATTCTGATGCAGAATGTTTTTGTACTTGTCTTCTCGTTCTGTAAAATAATTTGTTATAACCTATATGGATGCCATGACAATACGAGCCCCGACAAAGTGTGTAATTTTGCTCTTCATGCATTATGGGATATTTACCTCAAATATTGAGGTATGTATCCTATGATGCATTGCGATAATTAATTTTTTGCTCGTTTTGTTTTGATCGCTGATTTTCGCTGATTACTGTTAATTTTCAAATTTAATCACTGTTCTGTGATTCAAGAACAACTGTTTCCATTATTGGTTAGCTTTAAGAGTTTATTTTACCTGGAATCGGCAGTTTATTTACATTTGGACATCCAAAAGTCGAAGATGAAAGGTGAGTGTTCGCTGTAAGTGTTGTCTGACTGAGAATATTTTGCTCTGAATGTTTGGTCTATCAGAGTAACATGTCTTCAAATTTTTCGCTTATATGAAAGCCTTTTATTTTTCCAGAATCATGAGAACTATTGTGGGATTTTACGAGTCCTTTTCAACTGCCGACAAACTCAATTGGCCGTGTGATATTTCGTATGTTTTGTGCAATCAAAGGATATTCTTCTCAGTCGAAGATGCTTTAGACTTTTTGGCAATAAGAGAGCACATCAAATTGCAAGGTTGGAAGAAAATTGACAGCTTCTTGTTGGAACAAGGTTATATATTTTTGTATACAATGTAGTATTTGGCTATAAGTAATAAACTTTTAGTGTTCATTCAATAAGTGACTCTGACAGTGTTGATTGTGGATATATCCATCTGCCTGTTGGAGTGTTGCACAGTCCGCCTATGTAAGAATTTAAAAAATTTAATTGTCTGTATTAAAGCAATATTCATTACTAAATCCTTTGGTAGTGACTGATTGTTCGAACAATAGTAAACTGTCAGTTAATACTCATAGTTATTAACTAGACTAACTAGTTATTGAAATGTTAGTGCATAACTATTCCCTTGCCGATTATAATTGTCTGGTATTAGACAGAGTAAAAGAATAAGGTATGGCACATATTGTGGCTTAATGAGTTAACAACACAGGTTGTGCAATTTACCCATCATCAGGCAATGCACCCAAATGTGGCCTACTTTAGTATTTACTCTGTATAGCACCTGAGACTAGATAAATCATCATATGTTATTGGTGAGTACTGCCAGTAAAATAGCTGATAACAAATCTATCGGCTAAATGCCAGTCCACCTTGTGGCATTAACTGGCAATGCGCTGTGCTCAGCCAGCATATTCTGGCTAATGAAGTATGTTACAGACATTTTGTATAAATCATATCAGAATCTGGGTTTGAGTTGATGTTGGATCTTATTAGGAAATAAAAGATATCTGCAAAATAATTAAATTATTTTCCGACCCACCAAACTGAAAAATTTTCCAATTGTTACCGGAAACACATCGTTTTTTGTTTGGCCGAGGTAGCACCCACAACTACCACCCTATATTTTAAAGTATATACATCCACTTGCTCTGCTTGAATATGTGATATCAATTGAATATAACACTGTATACACATAACTCGAATTAACATAGGAGGTTTTCAGATACTCTCATTCCAGCCTGCTCACCACAGGCACCTGCTTAGCACCTGCTTAGCAGGCTAAGTGTGAGACACTCTTAGGGACTGTTCATTATTTATACCCTAGGGGGGTTGGGAAAAATTAGGGGGGTGGTCATGTAAAGTTCATCTTGTCCTATGGCGGGGGGACTTGCTTTTGTCAAAGTATCATATATACAAACAAATACTCTTATTAAAAATCTACCAGAAAAATCGCATAATGATGTATGTCGGGAGTGGGTTTATAAACTTTTCATTGTTTTATGGGGATCTTCAATATTGAGACCATCAAAAAAGGGGGGGGGTCTATGAGATTTTAGTACATGACATAAGAATCTCCCAACCCCCCTAGGTATAAATAATGAACGGTCCCTTAATGAGTAGAATTGTCTTGTGTGCTACAGAGTAAATGAACAAGGTAAATGAACACCCCAGGCAGTTAACTCTTTGTTAATTGATTTATATTTTTCATCAAGTAAATATTTAAGGCAAAGTTACACTAGTCAACTTTCAACCACAACTCACAGCTACAAAGCTGGTCTGATGTGACTGGTTCTGAAACGATTTGCATTGCGAGTTGTTGTTAAAATTTGTCCTGTGTAACATCACCTTTAGGGAGTCAAATAATGAAAATGCTTTGAAATCAGTTTGTCATGTTGTCTAGTATTTAACTAAGTTTTTGCGATGTTCCCAGTTAGGTCTATAAAAATTGTATATTATATCAACATCAGCCTCGACAAATACCACCTTCTCAGAGCACAACTTGTTACATACTCAAAAAATTAACTCGTCTTGTTTCTTGTTTAAAGATATTGTAGAACCTTTCATCACAGATGGTTTGAAGAAAAATCTAGTTAGTTATGCAGCATTTGTTACCATGCTTTTTGGGTTCAATGGTGGACAGAAGCAAAACCAATTTGCAGAAGTGAGAACATCTTTAAAACGTTATCTGTTGAAAATGCTACATGGTGCAGACTTAAAGGAAGATGGAAAAAAACCCTCACCTAAACGCAAGACCCCTTGCAGCACACAAACTACTCCTCATAAGATCAATGTTGGCAGTAAACCTGATAAGTCACCTATTTGTCCACCAGGCCCAGGTGTTACCCCACTTAGTTCAAAAGAAAATTGTTCCCCTGTTCAACACTTGCTAAACTCACCATTAAAAGTTGGCAAATGCAGCTTGGAACTTTTTGAGAAAGAAAAGTCATCTCATGCCGAGCATAAGTCTGGACGTCGATGGAAGTCTCGACCTTTGAAGAATCGCATTCGGATACAGGAAAATACCTTCACTGTTCTTTCTCGAAAAATTCACCGTGGTACCAAAGAGGATTTTCTTGTTGGTTTGTCATGCTCAGTGGTTCCTGATAATGAAAAGACTTTTGCACCTGAAACCAACAAATGGAACGGGAAGTTTTCTGTTCAGGATGTTGTTGAACTTACCAAGTTGGTCCATGCACATGAAAAAGAAGGGACGGTGTATGATCTTTTAACAGAAAAACATGCTGCTGAACGCTACCATATTGACGCTGATGATATTCTTCAAGTTGAAGATAATAGCAGCGCTTCAGATGCTATTTCTTATGTTCGGAGAACGTTTCCAGGATTAATAAGTTCATCCTATGCTGTAGAGATACTAAAGAACAAACTGAAGAAGGAGTGTGAGTTAGTACTCCAACCAGAGCGTTGTGCCACTGGCTGGAAGATCCAGCCTGATCGACTCCACACTTGTCTGCAGTTTGCATATCCATGGTTGCAGGAGACTAAACCTGAATGGTGGAAAATATATGGAGACAGTCGTACATATGGGAGGCAGAAGAGTGTTGCTGTTGCAATTGGGAATTTGAACAATGAACATATCCTCAATGGATGCAGCTTTCAAAGCCCAAAAGAAATGTGGCCAATCTGTCTGTTTTATGGAGGAGACAGTCGCCTGAATCTTGAACTTAACCTGGGTGGAGATTCTTCCTGGTTAAGCAACTGGGCAACCTCTATGGAAACTAGTGGCCACTCCATGTTCCTCAGTGGTGATTCAATGTTTTTGGATGCAGTGGCTGCAACAGACCTAGATCCAACGAGCAAGGATCGGTTTAGTATCTACAACCACGAGACAGTAGATACCAAAGGTAAAGTTGATGCTACAACTGGGCTTCGATCAGGACTAGGAAGGACTATTGAACGAGTTCTGCCAAATTCTGTGCTAAAAGGTGAGCCTTCGCTATGTACTTTAGATATAGTTTTTAAATATGAGAAAAGCTTTCAAAGTACATTTTGACACAAATGAAAGGATAAAAATCTTTTATTAGAACGACATTTCGATGTCATCTTTACATCATTTTCAACAAAGTAGCGAACACAAATCTGTTGAAAAAATTAATGTTGGTCAGAATCTCATATTTTAGCCCTTGAGAATTAACTCTCCTGACGACTTCACTCTCCGCATATGCATAATTATTATTAAGTAGGAATAAATCTCACCTAAGCTATGAAGTGTTCGTGATTAGTGGACCTTTCACCTTTTTGACTAAAATTTTGATCTCAACAAGTCTATACAAAAATTTCATCACTGCTTGAAAGAGCATCTCAAAATTAGTATTATTCCAAAGTTCGTTGCAAAGTGTTGTAAAATGCGGATAATATGGCCTTGTAAAATTTGCAATTTCCAGTCGTTTTTTATTACGTGCGAGAAATACATACCTCCTTCGCAAAAAGGGTATGTATTTCCCGTTTTTATTATATGATTCGACTTTATTTTAATCATCACCAGGAATCAAGGCTTTGTAACAGTTAAAGTGCCACTGTGACGAAAAATTCATTTATTTTTTTCCGCCGTAATTGTAAAGAGTAGATATAAATAAGCCACCATGCAAAATATTAGCGCGTGATATCCAATTTTGACTGAGCTATGCGCAGACGAAGTTCGTAATTTCACGGCCGCCATTAAAATCCGCCATATTGAAAAGTTCAAGCAGAAGGGCATGTGTGACGTCATTGTCTCAACACTTGACTCAGCCGTGTATACAATAACACAAACAAGGTAATAAAACTTATTTTATTCGATCATGCCACCATCGCGTTGTGTTGTGCAAAATTGCAGCAATATTTCCCATAAAGATGCAGGCATATCGTTACATTTAAGTCCATCTGACTAACATTTGAGAAGAATATGGGTTGAATTTGTTCAAACAAAAAGCGCCAATTTTTTCCCGGTTCACGAGATCAACGTTTTATGATCTGGTCGGACCATTATTCAAACGACAGTTTTGAGCGTTTGTTTCATTTGGACAGTTCGACAGACATTAAGCGTGGTGCTGTGCCTGTGCTAACAAGAGGTCGGCGAAATGATAGTATTGTTATGAAATATTACCGCCTATGAAATATTACCACCCCATATGTTACCATACCGCCTAAAAAAATGGAATTTCTCGATGACAAATTTTGGTCACAGTGGCACTTTAAATGTTACTATACACCGATTGGATGACATTTAAAATTTTCTTGTAGGCCTACCTGCTGAGAAGTATATTTTGTGTTCAGACCATATGATGACACGCATGACAGAAAGCCTTCTTACTCGCAAAGTGAAGTCGATATATAATATGGAGGCAAAGTCCATGATCAACAAGAGAGAACGGGACAACCTGATTCAGCGGCTAGAATCAAACATCAATGCAAGAGGTGTGCGAGGTCGCCACTTCAAATTTCACTTTGAAGCTGGAAAGAACAAGCTTGAGCAAGTGTCTCTAAACAAGACATGTGCCCAACTGATCTCAGCACCGCCATCATTCTTCAAAGATGCCAGTTATCCTCATATATTGGATGGTGTTTCTCAAGATGTCCTCCTTCCAAAACCACTACCATCAGGTCTGCAACAAGCCCTTGGAGCATCATCGCCGATGATAACAGAGTTTGATTGCGAGTCTCTTATATGGGAGCATCACTTTCACATGCACGAAGTCAACCGGATGGAGCCCACCCCAGTTCTCATTGATGAAACCAAGAAAGGATCGTTGAATGCAAAGGATTATTCCTTTGGTGTATCAGATGCTAAGATTGAAAGCTATATCAAGTCACCAGACATATTCCATGGGTTGATGTGCTTCTGCTATGGGAGTGATGCTTTAACACCATACATGATGAAATGTGTGGATATTGTTCCTGTTCTTTTGAAATCTTTACCTTTCAGGTCAATGATGAGGATGGCAACGGAAGGAGGCGAGAGGATGCACTATATGCATCAGCAAAGGTTCTTCCAGCATTCATCTCGTGGTGGTGGCTGGAAGTATCAAGATCCTTTACTAAATGTGTTCCATCACATGTACAGACAGATATGGGAACGTGTTCGTGACACAGGTGAAGAGAATGTGGATAAATTCCAGGCATTTGTGAATAAATGCGTGGAAGGCAAACACAGTGATGATTCTGTCCTGGGAACAACACCATCTGGAGACGCGTCATCTGTTAGCGAATTTGGTCCGCTTTCTGGAAAGCGTTTCTCTCTGGTTGGGTCATTTGCTTCATGTAAGCTGAGCCAGGAGAAATTGAAGGACATGATCACCAACAAAGGTATTCAGATAAGTAGTTAATAATGAGCTGTGTGTGAAATTCAGATAATTAAATGTCAGGACTCTCTGACGCACTGTAAGGCCAAACAAAGGTAACCTGATTTTCTCCATATTCAAAGTTTAAAGTTTGGTCTGTCAGAACTAAAATAGTAAAATGGCTTAAGTTCGCGACTTTAGCACGTTTCCCCATATATATAATGTGTTTGTTGGCCGTTCGTCTGACGATAAAAAAGCGACATTTTGTGATAGCAACTTCACGAATGATCGTGCTTCAGAGCGTATATATTATTTAAATGTGCCATCGCCACATGGCGGAGAAAAGCAAGGCAAAACTGTTTAGTTTAACCCATTGAAATGAAGTTATATTTATTTCAATGGTTTAAAACCGGACATAAATGCGAGCACACTTCGAATGTCACAAAAATTGGTCTATTTAGTCTAGCTAGACACTATTATAGATAAAAACACACATTACGGCAGTGCTCAACTAGCACATTCTGGATATCGAAGTATCGGTTACAGACATTTTGTATGAATCATCTCAAAATTTGGGGTTGAGTTGATGTTGGATCTTATAAAAAATATATGCAAAATAAAATTATTTTCCGACCTGAAAAGTTTTCCAATTTGTTACCGGAAATACGCCATTCATGCAGTCTTATATGAGTGTATTAACTGTACCATAGTTTTTTTTTAATATTGTATTTTGTTTTTTGAGGTGGTCATGTTTTCAATATATGCAGCATCCCTGCACAACTTCCTGTCGACATCATAGTTCTGGCAACGCAGAAAGAGTGTGATAAGGGAAGTGGAAGTCCTGGCATCACAACAGCATACCAGAGAAACTGGAAGATCGTGTCACCGCAATATGTTGTTGATACAAAAAAAAAGGTGCCAGCGCTGGAAAACTACCTTTTGTCATTAGAAAAAATTCAGGCAGCTCCTGGGACATCTGCAGTCCATACCAAAGTTGCTACAGTGGCCGAAACCAATTTCAACCGTTGTGGGGCATTCAGAGACCTAAAGCAGACATTACACTGCAGAGCTGAAGGAATCGAAAGAAAACCGAAAGCAGCCAACCCGCCACCAATGAGAAGTCACCACAAAAAAAGAACTGAACCGTTAAAGAAACCACCTTCTGCTTTTGCAATGTTTGTCCAAGAAATGTATGCACAAGTCTCATCTAACCACCAGGAAATGTCATTTAAAGAGCTGCAGTCAATATTGGCTGAACAATACAGATCGCTGCCCTCTGAGACTAAAGAAGAGTACCAGGAGAAGGGTCGTCGTTACTTTTGCGAGATTAACAAAACATTTGAATAGCGGGGTTACGTTTGTGATAAGTTTTATTCTTGGGTTTCACTACGGCATTTTGCAGTGAAACTGATGGGGGGATGTCAAATCTATAACGTCATATCAAACCCAAGAATTCTAACAGAGTTCTGAATATTTCCCTGATTGCATTGCAATTCATTGTTCGACACTGGCGTGACGTAAGCATTTCAAAGTTCTATTCGTAGACCGGGAGCCCATAGGGGTCAGATTAGCTGGAAGAGTAACCAATTTTTATGCCTATAATAGTGATCTACGTACACAGTCATATGTAAAAGTGGTTGTCTTGAGTGGAATTTTGTATTCAATCACAAGAAAAATGACAGGCATCATCAGAAAGCTAACAAAAAACTACATATAAGACTTTTAAACAGATATTTGATTTCTCAAATTGTTTTCGAATTGGTTACTCTTCCAGCTAATCTGACCCCTATGGGCTCCCGGTCTATCAGTACTTACCCATCAAAACATTTTTGTACCAGGTTTGATCAGTTTAATAGACAACATGGGTTTGCTCAGTATACAGTAATGTAATTGTAATGCATCTATTTACTGTTTTAACCCTCAAATGAACACAAAAACATTTTCAAAATAATTTATTACTGTAAAAGATAATATATGCAAATACTATACTGACTATAGTAGTCTTGAAATAATTGAACATGTCATTGATAATATATTAAAAGGTTACATGATTGTACTGCCTTAAATCTCTCAAAATATTAAAGAATAATGTTTTCCATTTGTTCTTTTCCTTCATTGATCACCTTGCGACACTCAGCACGATATCCAGGAGTGAACACAAACTGTGACTGGGAAAACTTGGCAATCAGTACAAGACTCAAGTCATTCGAACGTTTAACCTGCACCTCGGTGATGGATTTAAAAAATGCATCTTCAGCTCTTCCAACTTTATAATCCCAGCCTTTACCCAGAATCTCATCAACCAGTTCAAAATCACCATCATTCACCAGACTGAACTTAACTACCCCAGTGAGAGCAATAAAATGAAAAATCTTGTTATCCAACATAACATCCGATGGTCCTAAACTAATCCTTGTACAACTTAAATTAGTGAATCCACCCTGCAAGCCAACACGCATAGCATGACCCAAAACCATTTTCCTTAAATTAACTTTAACAACAACACTGACATTACTAGACATAAAAGTACAAAACTCAACATATGCATCCTGCTCAACCTTTTCCTTCACAGACCCCTTCAAACTAACTTTTCCTCCTGAATAATAAACAATATAATTAATATTACAAATAATAATAAAATCTTCCCTTAAAATACAATTATTCACATTCACCAACTTTGCCAACACACAACCATCATCAGTCCCGGTATACATCCTATAAATTATAAAAGGCAACCCAACACCTTCAACAGAAACAATATCTCCAACCTTCAACCACAGCCCATCGTCTCGCAGGTAGTAAATAAATGAACATTCCAATTCATCTTTAGGTCCAGTATCTCCATCTTCATTATCATTATCATTATCAGCCACTACTTCCTTTGATTGCTCATTTGAAATGGAATACAATTTTTGTCTCTTTGCTCTCTTCACCTTTGGACTGGCATTCTTGATAGGTGGGGGGCAGATATCACATCCTCTCACTTCCCTCTTTTCTTCAACAGTAAGTTCAACCTAATTAGTACAGAAAGCATTTCAATTAATATGACACAAGTCTGAGTCTGATTTCCACTGTGGTGAATTTATATAGTCCCCATTTAGCTACAGTATATCTCAGACACATTAGTTTTAGGTACAGTAAATGTCAGTCTATATTATTAACACAACTTTATATACTGTCGGATCAACTTTTTTAAGCAATTCAGCACCTATTTACAACCTCAATTACCCAATTATTATATATGAGAGCAACCAAGCGCCGACTCTGTGCCTTGGGTATGACCTACAATCAGTGACTTAATTAATGGATCAATTACTCTGAAAAGGCAACAATTGGCCGCTTCCCCCTTTGTTAGTCTAAAATGCATTTTCTATGTTTGGTGCTATTGTTTTGTGTTGTGCCGCCAATGATTTTTATGGCTGATAAAGCAATAATGAACCAGGGGAAAGGGTTTGAATATGAATTTTTCATAATTCTATTCAAAATACCCTTTCGGTATAAGTGCCAAAAAAATTTCAATGTCACTGATTGTAGTTCAGAAAGAAACTTGGTCGTTATCAGCTGCTTGCTGGCACCCACCTTAGTGGAACCACCAACGGTTATGTACAACAAGGTTAGTTTTAAATTGGAGTACGGTTCAAATACCCACTCACACTCAAACACTAAGTTAGTGTGATATCAGAGAGTGTACAGACTTAAATAAATTCAGATTCAGCCTGTCATATGCATTTTATCATACATTAAAAAGTTACACATATAAGTATTGACTTACATTGTACAGGGCAGGGGGCTGCACAAGACACAAGAAGATGAGCACAACATAGAGCACATGGCCAGTTTATATGGTCTTCACTACCAGCTATCACAGTATATCATTAATTACTAAATTAGCTAGTAGCATTCTAACATCAATTACTTACAATCAGGTTTCCCAGTATTGGATCCACTTGAAAGATGGGAACTTCTCCAACATCTACAACGTGCACCTTATCTCCTCTCTGTAATCGTTTTAAGTTTTCGGGCTATACCAAAAATGCAGACAAAGAATTTTAAAAAAATAGCAAACCTTCATATCATACAAACTTACAAAATGTAAACATAATCATAAATATTTTGCCATGCTATTCATATATAAATTTTGAGGGACAGGATCATGACTGTGCTCAAATAAAACAGAAACATTTTAAACAAATAAACAGCTTGATACTTACAATCTTAGAATCTCTGGATCTCTTCTTTGGAAGCTCTACAGCTTTCGTCTCAGACCGAATTTTGTCTTCAGATACAAAATAATCCCACATGCTTCCAAAACCTTCGAAGGAGATCTTAAATTTTTCATTTTCTGTGGCAATAATTTTCCCCTTTGCCCACACACCAAGCTCATCTATGGCTTCAACGACATCTCCAACTTTAAAATGACTCATTTCGAATATATAAATACAGCTTTTTTACAAAATATTCCTGTTACAAAGCAGTGATGTTTATAAATTCCTCAGAAGTAAACGCAAAGACACACAAATAACATGCGCGAAAATAAGAACTGGTTCAGGAAGCCGTTGCCGTAGAAACGATATTGCAATCGACCAATCAGAACGAAAGAACCATAAATCAATCCCAAAGTTCTTTGCCGGCATAAATTACACACATTCTCCGGGCGCATATTGTAATGCTACTATATTAACAACATGCTAATGCCAGTACGAAGGGCAAATTTTCATTTTTTTAAGGAGAGGTGGAGAAAATTTCTAGTGAGAAAACACAAAGGAGCTTTGGCAGTGGTTTAGGCATTAGGGACACTTTCACACAAAATGGGAGAGGTGAAGCGAAATTTTGCTGGAGCTGAACAATTTATAAGAGGTTATAGAGAGATTCTAGGGGGTTTGACCCCTTCTAACTCTTCCCAGTAAATCTGCCCTTGGCCGGTACTATACGAAAACTGCCAGACCGTAATTACATGTTTTTTTAACAATCTGCAATTCAATATTTTGTACATCATTTGAAAAAGTGGGTTGCAAATTGTACTATTTCGGCAAAATGATCTGCAAATTGTACATTGTCATTTTGCACACTGTATGTATGAGAATGACATATTTTTAAACACACAAAGACATTTTGGAAATTAAATAAAAGAATTGTATTATTAATGATTTGAGCAGAGCTATAGACACTTGATTCAACACCAGAATTTGTTGACAGTTAAATTACTACACAATTTATGCAACTTACTCATCAATGCTGCAATCTCAAGATGGCCATCAGTCACAACCTCCTTTAAAACAATTTCTGATGTAATGCATCCATTCCTCTCTGAAATCCAATCCTCTCCATATTATTACTTTTCCCTGCAGCTTCCCTGACATCTACAACATTCATTTGGAGGATGGCCTGATCATTCATGTCAGCAAGGCTGTATGTGCAGTACTGAGCACTGTGACCGGGAGAATCGTTTCCTCCATCACCACTTAAAACAACTTCTTTATCAGCCTTTTCTTCCCATAGTTGTTGCTTGTGTTGTTCCCAGAACTCATTGATTGCAGGGGCGATGTACAACTGCTGATACTGATTAAACAGTGTAGAGGAAAAATACTGTAGATTACAGAAGTTGAACATCAACCCCACTTTCGTATATGAGTTCCCGGACAACAGCAAAGCAGAACCAAGCATCAGATTCCCAGCTCGTATCTTGTTACACGAAGGTTGTGCTGCCCATCGCCCACCAAAATGGCCAGAACTACATCCCCACGAAACAACAAGGCAAGTACCAACATACGTCTTTCTGTAATCTAAGGGACGATCACAATTTTCCCGTTTACAAACATTCCCATGTAGTGTTGTCAATAAAGCCATAAGAGTGTCTGTAAAGACAATGCATTTTTCCATCTTTATGGCTTCTTGTGGGGTAACTACATCAATGGTTGATACATATTCAGGTGGCGCAGTGATTACATGTACAGGTTCATCATCAAATGATACAAATATCATGTTCTCACTCCCAGCACTTACAGCATAGGCATCAATACATTTGAGGTTGACCCCTATCAGATTCACTGCATAATGCTGTAGAGAAACCCAAAAATTATAAACCAAGGAATACTTCAGTGTCCCACATATTTCCCAGTGACATACAGTAAGAAATCCTAAAGGGTATATAGGCACAAATGATGTTAAACCCAATTTGTATCAATCTACTATACAGTATTATATAGAAAGGTTAAATTATTTATTATATAACTTACTCGTGTGATCCATGTAACTGAGATAAAGAAGATATGTTGCCAATTGTGATGGTCTCACTGTCCTCGTCACTGTCCCCTTCGCTGGCGGTAATTGTGTCATCATAAACAAGCCTGGTATTAATACATAATCATAAATAAGGACATGAGTCATACAAGGATATTTTGATAAATTTGATCATATAATTTATATGATGACATTTATTTATTTATTGTGCTTCGCTTCCAAACATCATACAATAATTGTATTAAAGAAGCTGGGACACCACAACAGCTTAACACCAATTACAGTGGGGGCCCACTGTTTTCAATATAAATATAGAAAAAATATCCTTATACAACTCATATCTTATATTTCAACTCTTATATTTATCAAAATATCCTTATACAACTCATGTCCTTTTAACATGGTTCTCCAGTTGTGTGCAGGGCAGGTAAAACAGGTTTTTGAACATGTAAGCATCATGTCACAAATTTCTAGGAGGAAATCTAGAGTCTTTGAAATGGCATCTCTTTCGTGTTGAGGGTAGAAAATAATATAACTAATTATTTCTAAACAAATGTACACAAACTTTAGACTTTCCTAGGCGGTAATAACTGGTTGTGGAAACGGTAAATTTTACCTGTTTATACTGCTTGATAAGGAGAACCTTGATACAAACCTTGGTGACTTTCCAGTTATGGGGGAGATATCAGCTATCAGGCCTCTCCGAGTTACTGACACATCTGAAGAATGGCCAGCTGGTGTAGATGAGGAAACTTGACAAAAATATAGTATAACTTCAAATGAGCAACGCTAACGAAACTCTAATATATAATTATTTATTTACGCACTATTAAATGATTATCTTAACACAATTATATAACTTACATGGTCTAGTGTTCCCGAGATTCTGAGGCGGTACTTGTTGCATGGCTGGATGTACACAATGGCTGCATTGTTTCGTCTGGCTGTTGATCTGTCTGGGTTTCAGCAGTGCTAAAAGTTCACAATAAGTTTTGTAATGAGCAAATTTAACAACATGAATATATCCAGGGATATGTGTTTAATGTACTGTTATGTGCTTACCTCAATTGAATCCGTCTTGATGTTTCGAACAAGCTTAGCAGAGTGTTCGCGAACTCCTCGTCACTTTTGACTCCAGCTTCGGTTTTTAAATCATTCCACCGACCAATAGCATCATTCACAAACACTTTCGACGCATATCTTTTCGCGAAATATTCTTTTCGATCCCCTGGCTGGTTTTGGCTACCAGCATTAGAAGGATTTGCCCTCGGATTTGCCTTTGAAGCTCTTGAAGTAGATGACCGCAACTGCCATGTGTCAACTTTGCAGCAGCGTGTTGAAATTGATATTTGATATGCATTTCCATTTGTAACAAGATCTTGCCAATACCACAAATTCCTTCACGTTTACTGTAATAGTTTCACCTGGTTTCACAGAGCAACATACATAAGCAGCTTCGACCCTTCGTAATCGTACACATTTATTTTCATTTAATTTTGAACATTTGCATAACGGAATATTAAATTCGTAAAAACACACTTTAGATACATCTTTTTTTTACATATATAGTTTCTTTTTTGACCGTATTTCTTGCTTTGATGTGAATATATAAGCGAGTTTAAAAACAATTGCAATTTTGGCACTCTGTGCGTCAGCTATCTTCTCTGAATTGCTAACAGTTACGTATTACACAATATTTAATCTTGACGATGTTTACAAAATGTGTACACATTTGAGGCATGTGCAGAATGGACTGTAACCCAGCTTTAAGTAATTATTATACTTATACCGGTATAAAATTTAGAAAGATTTATAAACTTTTCCGAGTGCATATATATATGTACATGAAAAAGGCAGCCTTAAACGTCCAATGACTATACGGCGACTTTCAAGTTGCACATTTTGCACGTACATATATACACTCAGAAAAGTTTAAGTCTTTCTACATTTTATACCGGTATAAGTACTATAATTACTTAAAAAATACATTTAAAATCAAACACAAAACTAAATGCTATCCTTTTATTCATTTAATTATTTCTTAAATGGACAAAAGACTTTCAAGTGGATTTAAATTTTTCCGTGCATGTATGCAGGTACGAAAAATGCTTAACTGTGAAGCAGCCAAGTCTAACATGTAATTGCAATTCAAAAGCAGCATATGTTTTGGAGTAGTGAACCTTCGGACTAGTGGGAAGTCACCGATAGTCACTGGTCAGTGACTATAGCTTTTTTTCAAAATGGCTGCTTGTTTTGCTGTAGTAACAGAAGAGGAAATTGCCAAAATTAATGAAGATAGCATTTTGAAAAAGTCCAAACAAGCTACAAAATATGGTTTAAAAATATTTCAAGGTAAAATATTAAACTTTACGTGCTTTTATTTGGAAAAAAACTGGCTTAGTCGCACAGAGCCGTGTCTGAGATTTAAATTTTGTAAACAAACTATTTATAGTGAAAATAAATTTATTTGAAGTGAATTTTTATAAAGTTGTTTGGATTATTGTTTGTAAACACCTGGAAATTTATACTAAAACAATTAGTCGCCTCAGGCTCGGTGATTACAAGCCTATATTCACTTCGCCTTCGGCTCAGTGAATATAGGGTTGTAATCACCTCGCCTTCGGCGACTAATTGTTAAATAGACATTGTTCACATGGAATGTTTTTGTATCACCATTCAACTTCGAGTTTGTGATTACTGATTGTAAATTTTGAGAAATTTTTTCTTTGTATTGGGTTTTTTATAAGATGTACATAGTCTTCTAGTTTATAATCTTTTTTGAATTTACAAAAGAAGGACAGTTTTGGGATTTCGTTATTTTGTGTTTCCAAAATTCAACATATTTTTCTTTTATTCTATTAACTATGGTTTTTGTATCGATATTTCTTAGGGCAATTTCAATATTACTTGTTTCATCATCTTAAGAATAGTAATGTTTTGACATGTCCATAACGTTTGAGTAAAATGATTCTTTTCCATTTCTGTGCAGGTCTCCCGAAACAAATAAGGCCTATTGGGTAGTATGTATCGGGTAGTTCGAGGATGTGTTTTAGGTAGTCGATTATGTTTTTTTTTGCATTGTGATTAAAAGCGGGAAATTTTCCTAGTTCTGCTCTGCAAGCCATATTGGTAGCCTTTCTGTTTACTCCCAGATATAGCTTGCAGAACCTTAGGTGGGGTTTTTCTGTTTGTGAATTGTCCCACTTATTGTAGTCATTTTTTTGGTATGCTCCTCAAACTTCAGTTATATAATAGAATGGGGGAGATAACTCCATTAAAAATTTTGATAGCTGTCTTGGGTGATAGTGAACTAATGTCAAGTTGTCTGCGAAGTGTGTGTAAAGCATGTAATGCCTTTTCACTAAGTTGCTTTTGTGCAAGTTTAAATTCACCATTTGGTTCTAATTTAAGGCCAAGATAAGTATATTCTTTAGTAATTTCAACAGTATTGTTACCAATAGAAAAATTCAGTTTTAGAATTTTAGAGTTATGTTTTTGGAAGATAATGATTTTTGTTTTTTTTCATATTTACTTCCATTAGGCGTAAAAAAACCTGTGGTTCCAGTTCCCGAACGACCCTATTATTTTTTCAACACGATTGACCGTGCGACCCTATTTTCTCCAGGTGGTTGCGGGCTCCTCATACAGCGTGCCAAAATGGCGTCTGTTGTCACACTAATTATTGAACCAAATCAGGGGCGGATTTAGACCGTTGCAACTGTAGCATATGCTACGGTCAGATTTTCCATAGGCCAGTTCTAACATGGATCATAAAATCAATCTAAAATATAATTTAGCCATATTTTGTTTATTTTCCTTGTTTATATTTAAAGGTTTTATTTTATTTAGTTTTATATGTTTAAAACATTTTATTTTGACAAATTGATGACATTGATACGTAACGTTAGTTGTTTTAAGAATTCTAGCCCGAAAATACCCTTGTAATTGCCCGTTTGCGGGTCATTACGCAATGGACTATAGCTTAGAAAATATCATCCTTCAGAAATACACCGTAGCGTGTTGCCCATATATGATCAATTTTCGCTACGGTCAGATTCATTAAGGTCGAATCTGACCGTAGCGAAAATTGGCATATACGGCATTCTGATTGGTTTGCTACGGTCAAACGTAGCAAACCAATCAGAATGGGGCAAATGCTATAGTTTGCTACGGTGGCATGAAATTGGCTACTGCTCCAGAACGATGGAATATCTGATATTTGTGTTTGGCTCATCAACAACATGCTATTGGGAACCCACAGTACGGTTGTGCGCATTTCGAAATGAAAGCCGTCGTAACGCTAATGAATATATATATCGTCGAGGTAGAAATAAAATCAGATAGTAAAACGAATCATTTCCAGTCAGGTAAGCCTTATGAATAATAAGAGATGCATATTAATATTTTAATTTGAGTTTTTACTGCATAGTGTTCGCTATTAACTTAGCTTTATTAAAGTGTTTGTGCGCGTATGTACAGTATACCTGCATAATATGTATTGGAATTAATACGCAAATTATGATACGCGCGTGTATATATCGTGTTTTATAGCGCCCTAATATTTGTTTGTAATGCGTATATATTTGACGTAAGATACGCGTATTCGTATGATACGCGCGTTCATATGATACGCGTATTCGTATGATACACGCGTTCGTAGATGATTTGCGTATTTCGGTATTCAATTGATAATGATATGCGTATGATACGAGTATCATACCGGTATCGTATGTTAAGATATACGCGAGCGATACTTTACATTTTGAGATCTTTCCGGCTTATTTTTGCTTGAGAATGAATACAATGAGGACAAATTTAATGGTCACATGCAGTGCTCAGAACGCAGGAAATGGCATTTCCGGGCTTCAGATTTCAAAAATTTTCCGGGGGGGCATGCCCCTGGACCCCCCTAGCTATGCCAGGTCTTTGAAAATGCTACGGTCAGATTTTAGGCTGGATCCGCCCCTGAACCAAATTGCCTAAATTTGTCCATAGGAAATACGCATCTCTAGTTAATATTGATGTCAGGACTCTACTGCAAATCGCCCAGCAAAAAACCACCAAAACCATGAAAAAAATATTCAAGGAAAAAAAATTTCCGACCTACCAACCCTAATTTTTTCACGATATGAAACCGGAACCACAGGTGCCTTAGCCATTTTTTGCACCAATTATGAAGTTTATTTAAGCAGTTTTGAAGTCCTGATTTAGATCGTGATAGGATGATAAGATCATCAGCGTATAAAAGGCTATTTATTGCGGTTCCATTTGGGAATACTAAAGGTCTGATTGTTTTTTCAAAAAGTTGTGGTAATTCATTAATATAGATATTAAATAATAATGGGCTTAAAGTGCATATGACATGAAATTTCTTATTTTCTTAAATGAAAAAGAACTCTTTAAGCTGTAGTGTAACTTATTTTTCAGTTTCTTATTTTTATGGTTTGTTCCCGAGATATTTCAATTTGTTTGATATGTAAATGAGTGTGAATATGTCTGCTAATTTATGTCATGTTGGTTGCAAGCTCTTCAAAATGGTCGAATATCACTGCTATCATCCAAGATGATCATTTCAAACTTCACTCACTGGTAAATGTGATGAAACACTGTAGAAAAATGTGAACAGATATCTACAGTTTTTAGAGTTAATAGATTTATAACCAGTGTAAGTTGAGCTCGCAACCAACGTGATGTACATCATAAATTAGTAGACATATTCACACTCATTTACATATATCAAACAAATTGAAATATCTCGGGAACAAGCCATAAAAATAAGAAACTGAAAAATAAGTTACACTACAGCGTAAAGAGTTATTTTGTTTAAGAAAGTAAGAAATTTCATGTCATATGCACTTTAATATACAACCTTGACATGCACCTTTCTTATATTGGAAAAATAATGTTTTATAGTCTGATAGCACATTTTGTTTGAGTACATGTTTTTATTTAGTTTGTAAAAGCGTCCTCCTATTTCGTTTTCAAGTAGTTTTAAATATAAGCCTTTATGCCAGATTCAGTCAAACGCTTTTTTTAAAAACAAAAAAACATGCATATATCTTTCCATTCTGACTTTGTTTTACATACAATATTGGAGTTATAATGCCTTCAGACCACGATTCTGGAAAGTATCCAGACATTAAAATGGCATTGAAGACTTTAAGATATCCTTTTACGAGGATTCCAGTGCTAGATTTGATCATTTCATTTTCTTTAATTTCATATTTTTTCCTGCATTTAGTAGATCTGTATCAGTGATAGTTCTGTCAAGTTTATTAAATTGATCCTTGGTTTTTTTCATAGTTTTTTATGCATTCAAGATTTTCTTCTTGCGCATCACCTAACTTATGTTCAGAATGTAGTTTTTCAAAATAAGCCAACCATTCATCTTCTGCGTGCATATTTTTAGTTTCATTGAAATCTAGATTATCGGTACTTGTTTTGAGTGATTTCCAGAATGAGATAGGGTCTTTTTCAGATGCTTTTTCTAATTCTTCAATTTTTTCCATGTGGAAAATAGTCTTTTTTGACTCTTTTGAATTCTTTATAGTTTTTAGGGCTTTGTGATATGAAGTTATTATTTCATTGTTACTTGGGTCTTTATGTTTCTGGTTAGCAAGTTTTCTTACTTCATGTCTCTTAAATCTACAATCTTTATCAAACCATTTTTTGTTTGCTAGATTATTAATTTTGTGTTAAAATTTTTATTTTTTTTACTTTGAGTGATTTTTTTTATGTTTCAAGTAGTATATTTTCAAACTCATGAACACATTTGTTAATACCCTCTTTCTTGTTTTGAAAAGTCATTGTTTAGAAAATCATTGAACTTTCTTTGGATTTCATTTGATTTACTGTTTGATGAAGGTCTCTTTGAATCAGCTGTCCAAATATACTGACATGGTAGTTTTTGAGTGATGGTTGACTTGGGTTATCTTTGGTTGCTTCAACTATTTTGTGTATATTAATCCAAGTAACAATTTGACTATGGTCAGATAAATAAGTGCGATAAGTTTTGGTTGCAGATTATTTAGTCAATAACACTTGGAAAATAGGTCTTCCTAGTGAGTCACCCTTGGTTCTACCATTTAAGATTCTCATGTCACTGTTTTTGCAAATATTTATAAGTTGCTTTCCATGGTTGTTTATGATTCCATCGATGTTTTGTCTTTCTAAAGGTTGTAAGGAATGTTCATTGATATTATAAACATGCTTATTTCCTTTATTCGAAATGTAGTCTTCTAGTTTACTTGTCCTAGCATTAAAATCTCCAAGGAGTATAGTATTGCCTTTTGATGAAAAAGAAATTAGGTCGTTCTCAAGTTCATCAAATATCTCGGGTTCAAAATATTTTGATTTTTCGAGTGGTATAACATATAGGCCGTGGGCTGACTCCCCAAAAAGTGGCTGAAAATCAATTTTTGTTGCCCCCATTGTGGTGCTAACATTTCTTAACGCCTACGTACAGATTTCAATGCACAGAGTTCGATTTTTTTTGTTCCCACTCGCGAAAACCTGCAGTTATTTTGTAATTTATCTATGAATTTCCATATCTATAGCCAATTACGCAATTTGCGGCGTCTTTGATCATGTCTGATTTTACATGAAGTTTTACGCATGTTTCCGATTTGCAAATATGGCGGAGATGAGCTTGAGTGATTTTCCTTCATGTTTAATTCATTTCGAGGGAAAATCAGTGGAATTATGCAAATTAACCACTTATACTCTTGTAAAATTAAAGAATATTGTAATAAGTGGGTAAATTTGGATGGAGAGCAGAAAGAAATTGCTAGTAAATTAGTAAATGTTGTGAGACAATGGCCAGACATCGAGCCAGAATTGATGCCTACAGGCACTGGTGATTTATATTATGACAAAGAGTGCTACGTGCGGTTTTGTGACAAGAGCAAGGTCGCAAGGCCGAAACTTGAACAAGCAAGATCAAGGAAAAAAGTTATGCGACCGAGAAAGGGAAGCAAAGCGATCAAGCAATGAACAAGGAGAGCATTTACAACCTATGCGCTCATCAGCTCGGATAGCGTCCATAATTTCCGGTACCGCTTCTGTAGAAAGACGCACAGCTCATGTAATGCCAGAATTATGCATTATATGTAAAAGAAAAGATGCATACATAACGGACAAGGTACTGTTTCTTTTTTACTATAAATGATCACCTAAGACAATTTTTAATGACTTTAGAATTAATAGTTGTTATTCTTAACACAGAAAACAAGAAAAAGAAAGCTAGACAAGCTGGTCAAAGCAGAGACGTTTGATGGTGGCTTATTACGGCAAGCTGCTGAGGGAAAAAATGATGATTCAATTTTGACACACATCAGGGGGAAAGACTGTGTAGCCATTGAGGTATAACATTTATCTTAACTCTATGTATATATATTGTTTTCAATGAAATTGTCCTTTTACACAACACTATATACTCTCCTCAATAAGAACAATCTTGTAGGTATTGTCGGTGTGGAAGCAAGCATAATTATTGTTCTTTCTTTATATTGTTTGGTGCAGTATCACAAGAATTGTCATTTAAACTATGACTCGCAAAGTGCCTGAAGGGAGTGATAGCAATGAACTTTACAAGCAAAGTTACAAAAATTTTTTGCTCAAATGTAATTGTTGAGGAAATAATGAAGCAAAAAAAAATTAAAAGGATGGGAGAATTACATAAGAAATTTGTTAAGCAAGTGCAGATAACTGAAAACGTTGATGCCAGCAATTATAGAGTATTTCGTCTCAAATCAAGACTTATGAGAGACTACTGATGACTGTAAGCTAGTCGAAACTTCAAATCAAAATGTTAATCATTTTCGGAGTGTCCATTGTTTTGTATCTTTCGTAACTTATGGAGAAGTC